GGGCATTTTAGTAAAACTAGTACCCGGCCGGGTTATGGTGTTTCATCTCATCTGGCACAATCAATTTCTATAATGGGTTCTTTATAATTTATTTTAGTTATCTCCAACATCTCATTGAGTTATCTAGGCGTATCTTTAGTGATATGCATTTATAGAGAATCATCGTTCCTTTGAAAATCGGCACTGTGGATTGTATGCTTTCAACCATGCAAATAGTACTAATTTATGAAAGTACATTATGTGTGTGCTTCATTCATACCTATTTCCCAAACGACAACCAAACCTTCCTTTGAAAATAGGCATTGTGGATTGTCTTTTCAATCATGCAAATAGTACTCATTTATTAATTGCATTATGTGATACGCCCCTGGGGGGGTGTATGTTTATCAAAGTCACGCAGCTAACGACTCAATCGAAGAATCGATTGAGCTCGAATCAAGAACAACGCGTTCTTAATACGAACTTGGATAAAACGGAACCAAAAGGACAAATCCACACCTGGGGATAGCTCGATTGGTATAAAAGGGTAGTTGCTCGACCACGATTGAAGTGAATATTCAATCGATACACAAGCTCAGCAAGTTTGGAATCCACCAAACCCAAAACAAGTCGCAACTTGCACAAACCAAACGGTTTCTTTTCTATTCAACAAAGTCTGAGTTTTACAACGAAATAGAAAGCTTAAATAGGCCTAGCTAGGGTTACACAGGTCCCATAAACTCCTAATTACAGTCTAATACGAAAAGGAATAAAAAAACTACCAAAACAGTGAAATCCTAACTAAACAAGAAAAAGAAATCTGCCTTTAGCTCCAAGTAACCAAACAGCTTTGATGCCATCTTTGAGCCTCTCGATCAAAGCCTTCCAGGTAAGCTTCCAATCACCCAATGCTATGTCTTTGTAGTAGAACATATCTACTCTCATGTGGTATAAGCCTCTGGACTCGAATCTCATCCATGCTTCTGGAATGGAGCTCCAAAGTAGGCTTCTTGAACACAGTTTCTGCCTTAACCAAATTCTGGCAGTTTTCCAGTTTTGAGGTAGCAACTTTGAGGCCTTGGAAAACAACCTTAATGACATCATCTGGATCCACAAAGCATACCATTGGAAAGATGAAAACTTTATCTGCAATACAAACCCTTAAAATTGAATTTCCACTAAGCCAACTGAGAGAACCATGCCTCCAAAGTATGTACCCTGAACACGGATTTTGACTTAGCCAAATTCTGCCTTTCTTCTTCCCAACTTTGATAGCTTCTTTGTCAAGTAATTGTGACGTGAATTGTGGGCAATTTGGGATCATATCATTATGTGTGTTTTATTCATACCTATTCCCCAAGTGAAAACTAAATCTTTAACAGTGTGTTGTCTTGTGGGTCTGGGTAAAAAAGATACTATGTTGCTTATGCAGTCTTACAAGATGTTGTATCACCAATAAAAACCAAATATTAATTTTCATGGACTAACTGTATCAACTTTTTTTCTAATTATTATAATGCGCTGCACATTTTCTTTATAAACAAGAAGTATTGTTACTGTTGCCTAAACTCTCTAGCTAATTGGTCAATTTTTTTTAATAATAAATTAAGAATGGATTTTGGGCAGGGACAGAGGCTGGTTGGGGATTGGGGGAATCTTGATAATGATGTACTATTTGTATCCCGGGTTCAATCCCTACTTCTAACATTTATAATCCTTTTTTTCACTCATAGTCAAATGGTGTTGCAGGGTTTTGGGCTCCATTATACAATTATGAGAGCCCAAATTTATACATCTTAATCTTGATATCGGGTTCTATTATGCTATGATCAAATTCCAATTTCGATATACTAATCTTTAAGAAAAATTTTCATTTGATATCTCAATTAACAAAGGTGCGTTAGAGAGAATTTTCAAAGACAATTCTTACTTTTTTATTTAAATCTCACTTTCTTTAGTTTCTATTAATTGTATCATTTTATTTTTTTATTCTTTTAATATGTAGATTTAACATAAAATTGCTATTCAATAATGCAAGGCATCTTAGGATCAAAGATCGGATCAATAGTGTATTTCATCCGATTTTGTCTGGTTTGGTCCAATCCAAACGTTAATTCAATTAATTTTCTTCAGTATTTATAAAATTTATAAGACTGAGGATCGTATCACAATATATTCGATTCGGTGTGATCCGGTCCAAGAGTCGGTGTGGTCCAATGTGATCCTATATGGACCAACCCGTGACACATTCCGAAGACCGATTAGGGTTGGGTTAATTATTTAAGGAAACCGTGGGCATGGGAAACCGGAAACCCATTGCTACCATCTTTTTTATATAGTCTAATTACCATTTTTTTTCTTTTTTTCTAATTATGAATAATGATTGAACGTCAAGAGAAAATTTAATATTTGATAATGTAAATACAAAATTAAACAACAAATGCAAATTTCACCAGGTCGTTCATCATCCGCAGCGTAGCGCGGGTGTTTTTCTAGTTTTCTTTATAAATGAACAAGTTTTCAATTCTCTCCTATATCTCATCGTTCTATATACATGTATCTTGAATGATAGGCATTATAAAGAATAAAAATTCCTTTGAGAATTTCTTTTTAAAACAAGAAGCAATTTTACGATAGACATTGTGGATTGTACATTTTCAATCATGCAAATAGTACTCAAAGTGCATTATGTGTGTGATTTATTCATACCAATTCCTCAAATGATGCCAAAATTTCAGCAACATGTTTTCCTTGCGAGGCTGAGTACAACCAAACTTACCCCCTCACACTGTAACTTGCCTCAACAAGATACTATATTGCCTATGTAGTCTTACCAGTAGATGTTAATGTTTTTTCAAATTTTTACATATTTTGTTAAACAAGTTGTGCCCAACCAAACCATACCTCTTGCTAAATCAACGCAACAGTATAAACTGGTTTGACAACCTTGATCAGGGACGCACAATTTAGGGTTTCTTTTCAAGTTTTATTTGGGTTGATACCGCTAAAATGAACAGCAGAATGAGAAAAAACGGTAGAATGAGAAAAAGCTGTTGCTCCATTTCAAATTTCAAACTCTACATCTACTATATAATAGCAGAATAAGAAAATTTTGTTGCTCCATTTCAAATTTCCTGCAACGAGAGTGAAAGTAAGATGAACATTTTGGTCTTCACAATTACTTATTTCTTTTTTATCTATTCATGGAAAAAGACACATACTGAAATTTGAACCATGGTCACTTTTAAAAAAAGCAAAGATAATAACCAATAACACTAAGTATATTTGTTGTATCTTTATAAATTAAAAACATACACCAACCTAAAGTCTGAAAATCATATGACTTTTTCAACGATTAGCTAACCACTGAATCTCCCATAAGTACTTATTTTGTGTTTTAATACTTCAATTTTCATATTATGATTATTTTAGTTATCGTTTAATGCTCAATTTAAAGGGTTAATTCCATGGTTGGTCACTAAGATTACAAAAAACATTTAAATTTGGTCACTCGTAATATTTAAATCTATTGGTGGTACTTCAGTTTACTGAAACCGTTCACGTTTGGTCACTCTCCGTCCAACTTCGTTAACATTTGCTTATGTGGGGGTCAAATCTAAAAGTTGACCATTAAATGTATGACGTGGCAATTTAAAAATAATAAATTTTTAAAAATTGGGTATGCCTATGGTGACATGCATGTCACCATAACTTGTACTTTTCGGTCGACCTAATCCTATGAGAGGTCGACCAAATACACTAATGTGGGCACCCTGATGACTTATCACGGTCGACCTTTAAAATGTAGTGGTCGACCATTTGTAGTTTAAGTTGTCATTGTTGGTCGACCACAATAAAACATCGGTCGCCCTTTTCATTGGCGTCAGAAACAAAATGGTCGACCCTAAATGTATATAGGTCGACCACTTGATGGCGGTCATTAACAAAATGGTCGACCATTTAGAGAAAGAGGTCGACTAGATAACATAAAAGTGTTGTATCCATTTATCCATCATCATTTGACGTAAAATTAAGATCAAGTGTTGGTTTCGCGGTCGACCTAATCCGGTACAAGGTCGACCGAATACAGGAAAATCAACCTATGTCCTGCGTCTTTTTTTGCTTATGTATGTCGATGTGGGTGGTTCTTTTGCTCGTACAAATTATGTTTCAAACCAACAGAATCAGTCATAAATAATGATAACAAGGACTCATAACTTCATAACATAACAACTAAACAAACTAACAAGAAACACAATAAAACACAAATCATGATTGTTCACATAACTAAAATCTAAAACCACATAATATCAATCCACAATCGTTTTTAACACTCAACAATAAAAACAAACAATCTAATATCATCGAGTTCCTCCTCCTGTCCCCTCTCTCCCTCATCCACATTTTCTTCATTAGTGTTGCTAGCATTATGGTAGTCGGATGTGGTGGAATGCATGTATCTTCCACTGAAAAATCGAAACTCATCTCGCATCTCATTCACGGTCACCTGCAGTGTGCTCATCTGGGTGGTCATTTGTCCCATGTAGTCGTACATGCCAGTCATCTGGGTGGAAATCTGGCCCATATAGTCATACATGCCATACATGCGCTTCCCAAAGAGGTCTACCATTTGCTATAAAAGGTCAACCGTGTCATTGAACCTCACAAAACTGAAACGACATATTAGGTCGACCTACTCCTATATAAGGTCGACCTAAAAGTGCAAGTTACGATGACATGCATGTAATCGTAGTAAAGTCCTAAATTTTTTAAATTGCCATCTCATTTTCACCTCATTATCACTTTTATTTAAAATAAATAAAAAATTCTAATTTCTCCTAATCCCCAATACCAATACCACGCCGGCAGAATTACCCCACCATCGCTGCCGCTTCCATTGTAGCATCCAAGGCCGAACGATCCGCTACAATAATCCACCACCTAAACACACCACCATCTGCTGACCGGCAATGGATCCACTGGCCACTATAAATTCCAACTCACCCTCCACCATTAAATCCCTACAAAGAACCCTAACAAAAATAGTAGATAAGATGAATCCTCCCGCCTTCCTACCCTTCCTCCTCATGATCACACAGAGCCTCGTCTTCACCTCCCACGGCAACCGCGTCTATTCCAGCGCACAATATCTCATCGTCTCGGAGACCCACCGCGGCGGCGACGAGCTGACCCTAGCCGACGGCGCCCCCACCAATAAGAACCACACCCATGGCTCCTACCAGGTCAGCAAACAAGGCAACAACCCGACTTAGATTAGGAAGTTTCAACAATGGAAGCGGCAGCGACGGCGGGGAAGTTTCAAACCCAATTTAGTTTGACTGGGAAGTTTCAACAATGGAAGCGGCAACGACGACGGGGTATTGGTATTGGGGATTGGTTTTTATTTATTTTAAATAAAAAGTGATAATGAGGTGGAAATGAGATGTCAATTTTTTTAAATTTTATTTTTATTAATTTTAAATTGACACGTCAAACATTTAACTGACAACTTTTAAAGTTGACCGCCACATAAGCAAAAGTTAACGAAATTGGACGGAGAGTGACCAAACGCGAACGGTTTTAGTAAACTGAAGTATCGCCAATGGATTTAAATATTTCGAGTGACCAAACTTGAACGTTTTTTGTAAACTCAGTGACCAACCATACAATTAACCCTTAATTTAAATTTCCATCTATCTTACAAATATATGATAACCCTAAAATTGCAGCTCAAATATCACTGGTTCGAATATTGCATATCAAATTTCAATAATAAATATGTAGAAGTAGTGTGGACTTCTTAAAAAATAGTATTAGTTTTCAGAACTACTATGAAGAAATCATATCTTTGTGCAAACTATATGTGACTGGTTCTTTTAACGTTTTAGTCGAGTTAATCGCCATATTTTAAACCTCTTCCTAATCTGGCATGATTGGATCCAACGATCATTATACGAGATTGAGTTTAATAGGGTAGCTCATTTCACCACTTGTAGGACAATGACATGTCTACATCTACACTCATCACTCATCAGAATCTACACACAATATAAAGGTGAAATGAGAAATGAGGGATCCCATTTCAAATTTGCTGAATCCAAAGCATTTTTCGGGGTAAATTTAGGAGGCGCAGTGCGACTGGTCTATTGTGAAGGAAAGTAAAAACATGTTTTGTTTTAACCGGACCGAAACTGTGATTTGGCCCACTAATCGTGAACCCATCGCAGCCTCGCCAAAACTTTCCATTCTACAGGCCGGGTCATCTCCTCCCCCACAAACCGACGGATTGCAGCTACCCCCATTGTTCTTATAGCTAATCAAGAAGACCCCGTTTGTTCAGCTGTATGGTGATTCTCTTAATTAACACACTCCACTCCATTGACAGCTTCATCTCCTCAATTGTATTGTGTTCACAAAGATTTGCAGGCAGCAAGTGCAACAGGTCCAGGGGTAACTGATATGTATAAAGTGCTGGCCAAATTGAATTGAGTCGTTCTACTTGGAATATGAAGAGTTCTGCTTACTTGCTTTGGTTTGTGATGCAACTATATTTGAAGGTAGACCAATGCAAACAGCAGTATAGCTCCAGAGTTATTATGCACATAAGGTAGTTGGGGCATTAATGATAATGATTTGGGTTTTTTTTCAAACTAGTACAGAATTTGGAACATGCCTTTTTATTGCATTGATTAATACTGGTTTGTCAAATGAGTGATTTGACATTCTAAACTCTCCTATTTTTCAAAATGGAACCTTTGAAGTGGAATATGAAGATTTTAGAATAAGCTTGGTTTCGTAATGCCCTTACGGAAATGCAGTTGGATTTTAAAGTAACCCATCACAAATGGCAGGTCATGATACAATGATGGTACTGGTATACGTGTATATCGTTTAACTAAATGTTCATTCGATCTTTTCAACTAAAAGTTGTGCTTAAATGTTGTGATTGGTCTGAGAAATGTACGTCTTTGCCTTAACTGTTAATGATTGTGAGTTTTGGTTTAACAGTGAAAAGTCCATCCATATATAAGTAATCCAATGTTTGAATTTCGTTTTGATGTTTAAATTGAAAAAAAAACTTTTGGAAAATAGGCATGCCATACAATAGTGTTGTGGGAGGTTTGTTTGATGTCTCAAGATTTTGCATTTTTTAGAGGGTTGTTTGTTGTGATAGAGAGTCTCTACAGCTAGCGAGGTATTCCTATGCGAGCTTTTTTGTTGTTTGATTGTTTCTCGCATTTTCCCTTATCTCTCTATTTTTGACTTTTGTGTGCTAGCTTCAGCTGCTGGGTCTTCATTTGTGAGCCATCTATACTTTTCTTATTCAACGACTAAAAATCATCTATACTCATTGCATAACAGTTACTCAGAGGTACACTGAAAACAAGAGAGAGCTTTTAAGTTTTATCTGCTGTTAGTTTCAATATTTACTTACCTTGGTTGTTTATGTAGTTTTCTGTGTAACATTTCGTCATTATACAACTAACCATATGTCTATGTACTATTATTTGTCGGGGTGGGGCATGATAGTTTTCAGAAGTATCAATACATGAAGGCTATTATAATGACCAAATATTAAAGTTATGTTACCTTTAACTTGCTTGGAGCATTTCATATATGCTTCAGTTGTTCTCTATGTGTAGTTTACTCTCAGGCAAATCGAAAATCTTGTTGGGTTGTGCTTGTTTGTAGTTAAATTAAGAGTTCTACTACCTTCTTTAAAACCTTCGGTTTAGTTACTGACACCGAGGTCACCAAGGTTCAGCCCTCTGGCTGTTCATATAGAAGTGGGTTATAGTAAATCCCCGTGAGTCCAATATTATTATTTTTCTGACAGTAATCTATTTTTTGGCTTAGAAATAGTATGAACATAATATCATTTGACACAATGCATAGTTTGATTACTTTATTACTATACAAGTGGAATTGATCTAGCTGATTGGTATTCATGTAGTTTACTGGTATGAACCTGCTCCTCTTTGAATTACAAAAATGCATAGGAGGTTATTTGAAGAAACCCGCCTTCCTCGAGCTTATTCCTTTCGCTCCTCTGCAAGTGGTTTTCTAATTTTTTTAGTTGTCCTTTCTGAATGTATATGCTAAGGTTGTTTTTCTTATTTGTAAACTTTTGAGGGTTTGAGGATAAAATTCGAATACCATCAACCTTTAACTTATATCATATCAATGTCTAATGTTTTCGCAATCAATTTTTGGTTGCTTCAACTTTAAGCAAATACACACTTCCATTTGTTTACGTGCGTGTCTTGTGCATGATGTTAATTCCAAGAATGAGAAATTTTATAGTTCTCTTTTGGGTTTGAAAATCTTTTTGCTACTGATTCCTGTGTTGTGGGTTGTGCAAAAAGATCTTTAAGTCTGCATGAAGCTTTTTCTTACTAGGTTGTGGACATTTTTGCTTATTTTTCAGCTCAACTTAGGTAGCTACATTCAGTGGAATTGGTGTGGATCTAGAGAACAATGAATGCAATTTATGTTTTGAATATATCCTCTACGTAGTACTTATATAGCTTCATTAATAAATTATTAGATTAGAGAATAGACAAGTGAAAGCTTGAGGAAGTTGATGAAATTCTTTATTTGGATGTTGTAATGATTAGAGTCCATCCTCTTTTAGACATTGCAATTCTTTATTAGTTATGACAAGGTTTATTATGAAGACAAAGTCATGTGTATTATTTCGCCACTTTATCTTTTAGCACAGGCTGCTATCCAGAATTCAAAGTGTGCATCCTCTTCCCAATCTATGACCACCCATGGATCCCACCTAGGCCATCACCAGTTACCACACGGAAGAAGTATTGACAACTAAAAAAAATATATGTTGTATTGCGATGGCATGAATCCATATGGGATGGTCATCGGAGTCCATGTACATAGGAAGTGATCATGAGATTCATTGAACGGAAGAAGCTCAATGGACATTCAAAGACTACTGAGGGTTCGTGTAACTAATAAAGGGTTGGGTGTCGTAAGTCCGTGAGATTTATCACAATTTCACGCATTTTTTCGAAATCTCTTTCGGAAATGGGCATCAAATAAGAGATTTAGCCATTTAGATTTAGGGGTCATGGGGATTTTAACAACCCATAAACATGTCATTTGGAAATAGCACTACAAAAATAATGAGGTTTGGGGACCAGAATAGGGAACCACCTTTCTATCTTGTCTCAGGAAATAACTTTCTAAGTCATATCAGGGACAAGCATATTGTGTTGTCCCCGTAGAATAAAGGATGCAATTTTATTAATTCCGTTAGTTAGTTTAGTTGTCCCCAAAAATAGTGAAGCCGAAATACATAATTGTGTGTGGATTTTTATTTTACAATATTGGAGGTGGATTTTTTCATGGGTGGATTAAAGGGATTCTTTTTTGTCCCCAAAATTGGATCACAATGCGCAAGCAAGCAATGCACCATTAACTTTTTCTTTTAGTCTATCTTTCTCCGCGTCATCTTTATATTGTATTTATTTACTTATTTTGGCGTCACAATACCTTGGGACAACTTAGTCGTCCCCAAAAATTATAGGGACGATTTTCCCTAAGTCGTCCCCAAACCTCCTCTTTTTTTGTAGTGTAGCTACTCTTAAATTTTCTGAAATGCGTCATTATTTTATTTTTCTTTTTCCCAAAAGTATCCTTGTTAATTTCATAAATGAGCCGAGCTCGTGTCAAACATAAGTCAAACTTTTGAGTTCGAACTCTACTCGTTTATTAATGATTTCATCTCAAATTAGATCAAAACTCAGTTCGACTTGATTCATTTACAGCCCTAACTACATTGGTATGTCCAATGATTCCACTAAGGAATGTCTTTTAAAATATTGAAGTAGATAAATAGTATAAGAATCCTTATACTATTTGATTTGCTTATATTCGTAGTTTGGAACCCTTGATTTGCATATAGGTGTATTAAGAGAATGTTCAGTATTTTGATTAGATGTAACTAGCGTCGGTCCAATATAAACGTGACCTTGTGTTATTTTTGTGGTATTAGTTATTCCAATTACTTTTGAAAAAAATAGTAAATTATTTGAAATTTTAATATTTGATGTTATAAGTGATAGAGTTTATGTTGAAAATACTTTCACATTCTAGGTCCCCTTTTTCTCCTCCTTTATTTTTCACTTTTCTCCTGTCTTCTTTTTTTAGTTTTTGGGCAAATATGTATTATATAAAAGCTCAAAAAAGAATGAAGCATACTTAACACAATATGTGCATATCAAGCAACGGCGGCGTCTTCGGTGCACTCACTTTTGTGGGTACATTTAGTGCACACGCTTCATAATCGTCATTTTAAACATGAGATTTATGTCAAAATGATGTCAATCATCACTTATGATGTGATGAACAATAACGCACATGAATTTGCACGAAAACCATGAAAGATTTGCTTTAATTTGAAGGATTTAGAG